TGTGTTTGTTCCCTCCTTCCCCCTTCTTGTTCCACTCCCCCCTCCCTCCCTCCCACACACACACACACACACACCTGGGTCGGGCCCACGCCGATCCGACCCGGCCGCTGTTGTTTACTCACCGTGTGTGTTTCTGTGTTTTTAGTGTGGAGCGCTTCGTGGAGCAGCCGGAGGTCCACACGTAAGTATTATCCCTACACACACACACACACACACACACACACACACACACACGGGGAGTGCCAGCTGTTGAGAGAACAGAACATCCAAAACAACTGGGTCACTCAGAGCAACAAACAGAATTACATTTAGAGGAACAGTGACGTCTTCTCCCTCAGTCTCATTGTGGTGTGTGTGTGTGTGTGTGTGTGTGTGTGTGTGTGTGTTCATCCACGTTTAAAACTGTTTAGTGACGCGGTGCTGGAGGAAACTTCATATCTTCTGTTTCTATTGGACTCTGGTGTTTTCTTCAGTTTTTAAATGTTTTCTCCAAACTTTGTTGCTGATTTAATTTCCAAATTATACACTTTAAGGTTTTCCTTCAGGAACTTACTTTGCGTAATCTCCAGTTTTACCTGTTCTCATGCGTTTCCCTCTTTGGATGCTAAGCTAGCAGGTAACAATCACAGATTTAGCTGCATGATAAATTGTCTGAATAGTTATTTTGATAAATGATATTATTGCTGTTTTGAGACCATTTTAAAGTAATGTATTTATAACAGCATAATAATGCTCTCTGCACTCCAACACTGGATTCAAAATTCAGATTCAATTCAAAAATATTTGATCAACCCTTAAGGGAAATTAAATGTTGTGAAGATGGAAGAAGGGTTACTGTTTTCATTATATATCAGAAGAAGGCCCTTTAAAGAACACAAGTACAGATGTTTTAGTTGTTTGTTTATTAAAGTATTTTACTGGAGGATTTACTGCCTGTTTCTAAACAACTGAATATAAAATATGACAAGTTTGAGATGAGAACTGTGAAATTTACTGTTGAGTCGTCTCCCTCCACAAACTCCACCCAGTGTTTCAGGGTAAATGAAAACGTAAGTGGTTCTTCACAAATTTCTACCATGGTGAGTTTCCCCATGATTCCTGTCATGGATAAATCCCAGATGTTGGTTTTAAACATGACCTTCACGATGTGTGTCCACCTGTTGGTAGTGAGCATCTGTCTCTGCTGGATCTATACAGATGAGAACCCAAAAGCTGAAAAAAGAAACTAAGAACTGTATAAACTGTATAAATGCAAAACTTTTGGCGTCTTTCTGTGGGATGGAGCAGATTAATGGCAGCTTTGATGACCTGAAGCCCAGAGATTTGAGCCTGTGACAGGATTACCCCCCACCATCTTATCTCCCTTTCCTTTCCTCTCCTGTCTCATCGTGATTGGCTTCTCAGGACTGGAGCTGCCGTCCGATTGGCTGGAACAACAACACCCACGTTTCCGTAGTGATTAGTCTGACCTGCTGTTTGGGCCCTTAATTGGATTATTGGTGGAGTTTTTTTAGTTCTTGTTCTACTTGTGAACTGGTGGTGATTTTATCAGCTTACATGACATAAATCAATCAGTTCAGGTTTGATTTGAAGAGTTTCTGCTTGTTTTTGTGTCCAGGAGGTTTAATATTCTGGATTTTTTAATAAATTTATTCGGATTTTATTTTTCTAAAGGGAAAAACTTCTCAACTCAAACCAGCAGAGTTATATCTGTGCAGATATAAAGATGCCTGATGAGGTCAGAGAATGGAGGAAATGTATAAAAACAGGATTAGGAATGATAATAATGTTCTGTAAAAGATTATTACAAAAATTACTGTGTAGTTAGGAAATAATGTACTGCCATGAAGGGATGTTCCAGTAGTAGGATGTTTTGTGCGTTCATTATACAAAAAAAACAACAACAAAAAACATGCAGCAGCACCATGAATGTTATTTAAAATAAAGCTTTGTAAATATCGGCACTTATTGAGTTCGTTGGAAGCAGTGATGTCTGTAGAGCCCAACTCCTGCTGGGAGGAAGGATCTGTGGTGATGCTGCTTTGTGCGCTGCGGACGCAGCAGGCTGAGCTCTGTGGCTCAGGACCTGCTTCACCATCAGTCCTTCTGTCTCCCATCAGCTGCAGGGCAGGAAGAACCAGAGGAACCTGGACTGGGTTGAGGTTTTAGGTAGTCGCTCCAGTGGAGGAAACGAGAGTTTTGGTTGATCCTGGAATGTGGGAATGGATGAATCTTAATCTGATTAGATGAATCCTCCCCTCTGCTCTCTGCAGACGTTTCCGTTACCAGGTGGGCGGGGCTTCTGGGAATGAGAGTGATGGTTTGGGAAGCTTTGGGTCCATCAGGATGTTTCTGCACCACCTGCAAAAACGCAAAGTATTACCAAGTATTTCAGTCTGGTTTCTAGTGCCAGACCCTTAGTCCATGTGAAATGAGACAAAACTAACCGAGATGGAGCTTTTCAGCCTGTAGGAGCTCGTTTTAAGTTAATTCCTTAATGTTGATGAAAAGTTCCACAGGTTACTTCGTGTATAACGAGACGTTTCTCCTGTTAACAAACATCAGATCTACCAGGATGTAAAGGCTCTGCTGCTGTTGGTACCAGACACCACAGCTGTCCCTGCCTCGGTCCGGGCGCTTAGAGCAGCAGGTGGTCATAATGTTTTGCCTGATCGGCGGGTGACAGATCTGTTTGTGTCCCCAGAGGGCGGCTGCTGGTCGGGACGTTCGTCGCTCTGTTCTTCAACCTGCTGACTCTGCTCTCCGTCAGGAACAAACCCTTCTCCTACGTCTCTGACGGTAAGCCCCGCCCCCTGCTCCGGTTCCGGCCCGGTTCTGTAATCCCGCCTCCTCTGGGGACCAGAATGATTTAGCCTTTGTGATATTTTGGGGGGATTATGGGAGTGAGGCGGCGCCTTTCCTCTGTCAGTGAATAAATCGGATGAAACCAAATGAAACGCAGCAGCTGATTGGTTGTCAGTATTTTCCAGAGAATCATGCTGACAGCTGATTGGTTGTCAGTGTTTTCCAGAGAATCATGCTGACAGCTGATTGGTTGTCAGTGTTTTCCAGAGAATCACGCTGACAGCTGATTGGTTGTCAGTGTT